GTAGCTTAAAATTATTACCATGTTTAAATGTGTAAAGTTTTCCCACAGTAAAGGTATATTTTCTTAATAATTTAAAATAATGGAAGCAAAAAATTGGTGCTGTCCATAGTAGTTCCCACTTATATAAATTTTGTTATTATTATTAATAAATATAATGATGTGACCTCAAAATGTATTCATGAAAGTGTTGTTATATTACCTTTTATGGTACTAACACATACTAAGTAGAATATATTTGCCTGTGTGTAAAAAAATATTTTCATTGAAAGTCAGTATAAATGCACATAAACTCACATCTAAACCTAAGTATTTTATTTTATGCATGGCTAAGCAGATTATACTTAATAAAACTGAGCTTTTGGTATAATTTAGAGAGCAAACATAATGTAATCCCATAGGATTTTCTATTTTAATGCACGGGGAAGAGGCCTCTGGGGATTGATTTCGTTATTCTCCCCAAATGAATTCAGAGACCTCACAATGCAGATACAATGAAACAGACATACCTGTTATGCTTTCAGGGTTGAGATCACTTCAAGATATTTCTCTACAATATTGTAGGTACTGGAACTTATAAGCATTAAAATGAGATATAGTTCACATTATGTTTGAACAAACATTCATTCACAGCCTCTGTTCTTTGGTAGGCAGTCTTACATTAGTGACAGAAGAAGGAAAATTTCCCTTTAAAACATCTGTTTCTTGGAAGAAAAAAAATAGTATCAAAGATGTTTTATTGTTTTGCTTTTGCCATTTCATTTGCATTCATGGGCTATTAATCAAGCAAACTGTGCCTTCCCTGTAGAACTCTTAGAGGTGGCGATCACTTCTTTGGTAGTCACATTCTGAAGAGATGCAGCTTTTATTCCGTTTTACTCAGCCTGTTTTTCACCAAAGACCATTGATTCTTTTAAAAAAAAATGTCTTACTTCAATTCAGAACTCAGTTCTAGAAAATGTGTAAAGAGGCACAGAAGTAAACAGCATTTTTTTCTAGAAGCTTCTACTTATAAATTAAAATCATAAAACTGAACATATGGTAAAACCTCATGCCACTCAAAAACTATTTTACATAATAAAAATCTTTGGTTTTTTTTTAATACTTGGCTTGCACTGGTCTTCTAATACTTGCTTTTATCGTAACGGCTTAACATTTTCTTATGAAAAAATTCTCTTCTACTAGAAAGAAGGGCTATTTAACTTTATAATTTATTTGCTTATTTCATTAAGCATGGAAGACATTAAAATGTACAATGTCCTAAAACACATTTAAAGATCCTGAAAATAATCATATATTAATATAAAAGACACCTGAAATTCTAATAAGAGCCAGAGATCTTAGTTATTCTAACAGTGCTAAACACTTTTTTGAACAGATAAAATATATACACTATGCAGAAGTTATATGTAAATCACAGGTGGCATTTTCTAGTTTTTGTACTACATTTAGTAATAAAATAATCACCTTTTACTTTTTTCTTCAAGCTAATTGGTAGAGAACCTCTAATTTAATGAAAAAGAAAGGTATTGGTATATTCAGACAAAGATATATGTGCCCTTTTCCTCATCATAATTCTCAATTATCAAGCTTACAATTTGAACACTACAAAAGTAACTTATCGCAAGGACCCTTATAGTGATAAGTAATAAATCTAATTACCATATCCTTTGAATAGATGTAATATAAATTTCATTGCTCACTTAAAAGTTCTAAAGTTAACAGCATAAACTTGAAGTTGAGTAATTAAGTAATCCTTATATAGACACTTATTAAAGTATTTATACATATTATCTTAAATCTACATCTATCATTTTGCCAATTAAAATTAGGACTTTAATTGCAATTAAGTAATTTAATTGCCAATTGAACAGCAAAATTGCTAAGTGACTAATTTTAATGCCTATTTTAATTACCAATCATGACTGGGGAGGGAGCTAATCAAGTTACATCAAGCAGTACCAGAGTAATGATGTGGAAAAAAAAAGAGAGAGAGAGAGAGAACAAACATTCAAGGCTACATGCTTTAAAAAAAGAAACATAAATTAAATAAATGCAAACACAATCTTATAAATGTATAAAATACTGTATTTCAACATCTGAATACAGAACATGAAGGAGAACAAGATTAATTAAAGAGCTCCTGTCAATCTTCAGTCAAAGGAAGGGCAAACCAAGTCAGTTTTTTTATGTGGTATTTGTATGGCACTCATGCCAACCCATATAAAAACAAAGCTGCATGTCGATGAGAAGAAGCGACTGCTCCTGCTTGAATGGGGTAATATTACAGACTGACACTTTACTATTTTTTAATGAAATAATCATAAAAGAGAGACACAAGTTTCTAAAGCACCAATATGAGTTCTGAATCTGAAAAGCAGACTCCAGTGCAATGGGTCCACACTCTTTCCTGATGACTCACACCCCCACTTAGCTGAATGAAAGACTTACTAGAAGCCTAATACCTATTCATAAATGGTTCCCTGACATATTGAAAAAAAAACATATAAACAAATTTAGCATACTTAAAGATCACAAATTTATTTGTGAGGAAATAAAAGGAAAAGCAAGTAGGATCATATCACAACTAAGATCACTTAGTATGGGGAATACACCTAGTTGTAAATCCTTCTTTGTTGTTTAGTTAGAATAAACATGTCAGCTCAAGGTAAAGGCACTATGTCTACAGGCAACAGAAACACAAGAATATCTTCTTGGCCAACACAGCGTATTTTCAAAAAATTTCCTGTCTAAACAAATTCTCAGACTAACAACATGTAAGGGCAATACTGAAAAAGGCAACTTAAGTTTGAGAACAAAAACCAAGAAAGTGATTTCCTAGTGAACAACAGCAATTCTAGTCCTTTCGAGTTCTGGTGTACCCCTTGGCAGTCAGCCACATGGTTTACAGTAACGGTGCCCATCTATCAAAGGTTTATTTAAAATGAGATGATGCTGTAAGATGCATATCCCAGGTTTTTTGCCATGTAAGTACACAAAAATGCATATAGTGTGTATCTGCAAAGGTGCCTGAAATTATTCTTGGACTGTACACATAATGATACAACTGGAGACAGAGAGCAAACAGTGCTGCTTGAGGTTTTGCTTGAACTCTGAAACGAAGCCCAGCAGGCCTTTTGGCCTGGATTTGAAGGAGGAACACTTTAATAATCACAGGGCTTGACAAAAGGTTGCAGTATGTGCCCATGACAATAACAGCTTTATAAGGCAGGCTCTGTGTGACTGATTAAAGGACAGCATAGCGTCACTGTCAATTCACAGGTCACGAAGATGGAGTCATTACTGACACGCTCACTACTGACTTGGCTTTAAACTAGAGTACTGGTACTGCAGAACACACTAAAACCTCAGCTAGTAAAAGATTACAGAGACAGCCCCAGGAAGGAAACTTGCCATAACCTAGCCATGTCCTAATCTGTTCTGCCTAAGGTTTTTTGGTGGTTTTTGTTTGTTTGTTTGTTTGGCTATTTAGCTATGCAAAAGACATTAGGTAAATAATCAGAATGTCTGAACTAACTCAAGCACTAGTTAGCACATCATCAGCCATTGCAAGGTGTGTGCAAGTGGGTATGTGTGGAGGGGGGTGCCATCTTGTCCTTTGAAAACGATACTAAAAGGACAAGATGTATAAACTTTCAAAATGTTTCCACTTCCTGAAAAGTTAAAAATTAAAAGTAAATACATTTTTAGGCCACTCATGTCTATTTATGTGTTTTACTAGTCTACCAGCTCACATGAACTACTTTTTAAATATATTGTTGAGTGCAAATAGATATTATGTAGTTAGCTTTAAGAAAACTTTTTCACATGTAAAAGTAAACATGAAATTAAAATTTGAATGATACTTTAATTTGTGCCCTTTGGTCATTGCTTAACTATCACTATGATCTGCATTTGCGAATCAAAAATATGGACTGGGGTTAAAAAGACAACCATACTTACAAACCAAACTTAAAGGCAGTTATGATATTTTATTAATCACCGGGAGATTTAAAAATCTAATATGAAATATTACTAAGCCATTCCAGTAGGATCTAAGCCATGACTTTCAGTACATAGATACTGACATCTTGGAAGAAAAAAAAAGTCTTTATCTCCACAATCATGACTTGGAATAAGACACAGAGAGGGGGGAATGGGGCGCAGGAACTGGTTTGCAGAAAAGTTCTACTGAGGTTTCTTATAGTTCATTATTACTTACAACCGTTTTTCTCAAGAGTTGAAGTAGGATTTTGTTTGTTTTAGGTGGAGAATTTCCAGTAAGTATCTAGACATAGGGGGTTATACTGAAACCATATATCCTGGGAGCCACTTGATTTTCTAGCTTTAAAGTGTGATGCTCTTGAAGAATGCTAGCTGAAACTAACACTCTGGAAGTTGTATTTTCCACCGCTCCATACTCACCTATCAGGTAGAGTGTCAATTTCCAATATCAGTTTGGTTAAACTTTCTCAATTTTGCATGTCTAGAAGTGGGAAAGTATAGAGGGAAGAAGGAAATACAAAAATAGATTTTACAGCCAGAATGATGTGACCGGGGCCCCTCAAACTACCAATAGCTGATATAGAATTTGAAATGTAGCTCTGTAACTCAATTTATACCACAGCAATTGGGCGATGCTATCTTCCTGTTGTTATAACGCATCAGGTCAAGGGATATAAATTGTACCAGGTAATTCATTTTGCTGTTCAGAGAGTCATTAGGTTTCTCCCAGAATATATATGATTGATATCCCTGGAGGTGAAAGGCTAAAGGAACCATATGGCAACATGTTGCATTCCGTATGCTATCTGCCCATCCGTGCTTAAGCTGCCATTAGCAACATCTGTACCTTACAGAAATCCAGCTGCGCCAAGGAAGGCTGACAGAATTGTACTTGGGGGGGAAATCTAGCTTAGCGCCATTAACTTAAGACTTAAAGAGTCTTTCTGGTAGGACGAATGGAAGCTTTCACAATTAGACGAGACGACACAAATGCTTTATTAAAGTTTAATTTTGAACTCCCAATTAGCGAAAGTGCATTACAAATCGATTGCAATTTCCTAGAAGGCACAGCAAGTTCTCAGCCAGCCTGCCTGCCTGCCACGTGCGAGGGGCTGCAGAGCAGCCGGAAGGGCAGGGCTCAGGGTTGGCCTCCGCGGCCCACAAGTCCCTAAAAGTCCCTGCCAGCGCGACAGTGGGCTTGGGCGGGCCAGGATGGGAGCCCGCGAGTGGGGGTCCTGGTCGTCTGTATAGGGGAGACGAGGGGAAGGAGTGGCCGGGGAGGGGCTAGGGAGGCGGACGACATGGTGCCCGAGTCGCGCCGTCCTCTCGGGAGGAGCGTGTTGGGGCTGGTCTCACCGAAGTTTCTCTCCCTCTCTGGCTCTCCACACCCACCTCGGATTCCTGGACCGGC